TTACATCTCTTCACTGCCATTCATAAATCCGCTCCCGCGGCATCATGGGATAGTAAAGTGTCCGAAATCACTTCCGAAGCTCTCCAGAACAAGTATGTCATCCAGGGATTTTTTTTGCCTACTCTTTTATGAGTACTGTGAATTGACACACTTTTTTTGTCACATAATGTTTTTTGCCTACTTTATAGTAGGGAAGTTTGCGATTTCGTATGCAGCCGTATGCCCTCGACAGAGGTGTCGTGTTCGTCGCAGAGCGCTCTCTTGCAGTGTTGCCATGTCCACTTATTATAAGCGTTTTTGGGGTTGTTGTATAAGCTTGGCTCATAAAACGTTTAAGTTTGTAGAGTTATTAAAGTGGGAAGGTGAGAGTCACGATATTTTGATCTTATTTTCAATATAAAGCATTTGGAATTATTTCGGTTTATTATGAGCTTGTTTCTTGTTCAGTGTTTTTTTCTAGCAAGATCTGGCAACACAGGTAAGTCAAGGCTCATACCTCTTTCCCTGTGACTTTCTTGCACTGCACACATACAGAAGAGTAACATGTGTGCGTTTAAATACGGCAGTAACAACTCTGTTCAGTTCGGTTCTGTACAAACTGCTAATTTTTGTAAAGGCCGTTGTCACTACCTGCATTTCTCTGGATTTAATTTGATTGTAGAATGCGGTTGTCACTCCTGTAAATTACTAAACTTTGGGTGTACAGAAAATGTTTAAACACTAAAAGCTGAATTAACAACCGAATTTAGCTGCTGTGTGTATGTGGCCAAAATGTAACTCGCATAATAGGGAAATTACCTTTGGAAATGATAAGGGCTTTTTAATGACCTCATAAAGTGAGAACCTCAGTTTTGTGCCTTATCAGGAGAGATCTGTTACCGTCATTATAACGGTCATTATTTTCGAATAATTTAAGCGTAAGGTGAATCACTGTACTTGACTAGTGATTTCCATATTACTGTACGTGGGCTTTCGGTGTTTTTGTCAAAAACATGAAATCATGTTCAAAATGTTGGGAAAACACTTTCTGCTTCTTACTAGTTTAACCTCTTTGCATGTACAGGTGGTGGACTACCTGACTCAGTACTCTGGTATCAAACCTGGAGACCTGGATGCAAAGATTTCATCCAAACACTTGACTACTCTGAAGTCTACGTATCTTAAATTGCGATTTCTTATCGACACTGGCGTTCGCTTTGTCGGCCACGGCTTGCAGAAGGATTTTCGAGTCATTAACTTGATGGTGAGTTGAATTTGTGTAAGTTAATATTTAATTTAGTATGTGGAAAGTAAGTTTAAAATGGAAACCAATATTAAGCCCCTCAAATTTTGTAGGTTCCAAAAGACCAGGTGATTGACACCGTCTACCTCTTCCACATGCCTAGGAAACGAATGATATCTCTGCGTTTCCTGGCATGGTACTTCCTAGGTAGGTTTCTCGCATAAACTTTCCTTATCTCCTGACCTCATATGTCATTTTCCGTGTATCAGCGTTTATGGCTTTTTGAATATTTGTTTAGATCTGAACATCCAGGGTGAAACTCATGATAGTATTGAAGATGCACGGACCGCCCTACAGTTGTACAGGAAGTACCTGGAGCTGAGTCATAACGGAGGAAAAGAAGAGTTCCGGAAGGTTCTCAAGGCTCTTTATGAGAAAGGACGCAAGCAAGACTGGAAAGTCCCAGACATTGACTCTGCAGACGGTCAAGGTAGCCCAAAAAGTACGAATCACTGACATGGCAGTGACATTATTTCACCTAATATATATCATTGCTGATGTCTATATACAATAATTATTACATACATAATAGTATTATGTATAGAAGTAAATATTTTTGCTATGCATTCACAGTTGACCAGTATGGGTTTATCAAATGCTAATATTGATATCTTGTGAGCTAATTTGCTAATATACTGTATACATAATACAATGAAATACATTGAAATAATACAATGAAATACATATCATATTTACTTACACGTCACATTATTCCTCATTTAAATCATTTCAGCCTAAGGCATACATGGGGAAAAGCCTGGTTGAGTTGCATTAGTAGTGTGATGGATAGATTTATCTTTCATAACTGACACAATGAGGAGGTAAATCTTCTGTAAACCGCCCAAAAAGGCAGAATATTGACCAAATATTGGCCAGTTAATTAGGCTTGGAAATACTTTTGTCTTATCGCTGCAGTGTAATTGCAAAAAACTAAAATGTTTCCATTTAACCATAATAACAAAGAATGTGCCTGTCATTTTAAAAACTCTTTCTTTAGTCCTGTTTGTCATTTTTATGTGAGCACAAGTTTAACAATTGTTGTTAGATGGACTTCTGATGCTCTTTTCCCTCTGCAGGAACAGCCGTGTTTCCCTCGGTTATGGGTTTATGATTCGACTCTTGTGTTGGTTTTATTCCTGCCAAACAGATGCCAGCTCATTTCTTGTACAGCCTTTCAGTGTTCATCATCAACATGTCTTGAGCCAAAATTGCCACTGAATAAGTATATTTCATGTCATTAGGTAGCAAATCTGAAATAAGGCATGCTATTCTGTGATATAAAAAGTCTGTTTTGCCCTTTAAAAATTGGGGAATCAAAAGAAATGTAAAAAAAAATCTCATCATTTCTCCACAGAATTGTGTATCCTTTATGTGTCTGTCAGGAAGAATATGAATAAGGGGGACAGATTTTTTTTTTTCAGGACTGAGACTTTAAATTGTGAATTTAAAAGGCATGAACCAAGTGTTGACTCCACGGTGGCCTTTTGCACCAAGGTATTTATATTGAGTCAGAAACTTCACTAATATGAATTACTGCACACAGAATATGGATTAAGCTCTCAATGGTTTTACTGTTATTTTCTACTTTGTAATATGATGTACATTTCCATAAAGTGGCAGCTGAATAAAGACTTTTGGATAAATCTCCTAGTCCATCTGAGGTCTGATGTAGTTCTCAAAGTAAAAACCAAATGAAAATCTCTTCATGTAATAATTTATAAAAGTCATGGTGATTTATATAATTCATATACTTTTTCTGGTTATGCTCTGCTCTCTAAAATACTTAAGTAGCTGGATATCATTCTTGTGCTGTGTATATTATGCTCACAAGAAATACTGATTTAGGAGTCAATCATTCTCTTGATTTCGTCTCTCTTTTCAAATAAAGTAATATCTTTGATTTAGCAATAATTTATGATTAGGAAACCTTTTGGGATGTAAAGTACGTGTTTCTGGTCTGGTTTTCTTTTTTTTTTTTAAACCTGCTGACTGTTCTTCTTCAAGTACCATTTAAAGTTTAGCTCATTGTTCAATGTTGTTACCCAGAATTTAACTGCAATTTGCTTTGCTGCTGGGGAGATGTAAAGGATGTGAATATTTTTAGCCCTTGACAGTATGTTCTGCACTCTTGCTCTTAGCTAGAGTGTTACATGGCAACAATGATATATTATTGACTGAAAAATGCATGCATAATCTAGTCCTCACTGGCAAGTAACTCTGTGGTCTCAGTATAGTCTAGAAACATTTATTTTCCTAGTCTATCCATATAATGTTCAAATGCCAGCAAACAATCCATATTACTGCACAATATTTAGTATGATTTTTCAGTCTTCTATGCTTTATTATACATTATTTGCTTGATTATCTTTTTTTCTGTGTGTTAAAAAAATTATACTATTCGCTGAAAAAAAAGTGACAAACAAACAAAATATTACAAAATTCTGTTTTAATATTCTCATTTTAAGGACTATTAAGTACTCCCAGGTATTGAGATGGTTGTTAGTAATTATATAACGGCAAAAACTAGATGTGAGGTGTGCATATATTTTTAAGAGACAACATTACGCAAATACTGTAACCTTGCTTTAACATTCTCTTGCATTGATGCAAGTAAAAATAATTGAAAATGTTAAGAAATATATTGTTTTTAAAAGCGCAGTCTTTCGCACTGCAAGTGTGATAGCTTTGTTTTATTTTGTTAAAGTAAAATAAATGCTATTATATGAATTTAATAGCATTTTTACAAATATTCTAAATGTGATTATTTTAAATTAGTTAGTTTTCATTATCCACATTGAGAATATGAATATAGTAGGCTAATTCTCTACAATACAGTATAGTCTACATTTGAATCAAAAAAGTTCAGGTTCAGAACAGGTTTTGTTCAAAATCCAACTTTGATGAAAGGTCTTGATCCACTTCAAATGTTGACTACTGTATAATACTTGGATTTATTTAATAAATTATTTTAGACTCTATCATAATTCTTATCAATACATCATCCTTATAAATAAATTGTTTACACTGGCTGAGCTTCTTCAATGAGCAATTACCGACGATAATAATAATATAACAATTTAAAGAACTTTAGACAAATGATGTTTCTTGTCCTCCTGACTGCTTCTTCTTATGCTACATTCAGCTTCTTATAAGACTTTTCCGGATGCAATTGTTGCTCGTGGAAAATGAGTTCATGCTGGAAACTAAAACGCTCCATTGTGAAATGGAAACAATGTTAGAAAAGCATTACTCATTACATAACCTATATTCAAATTAAAAACGAAATTGTGCTAAACTTTACCTCAAAACAATTCATAATGAATTTAAAATGGAGGAAAACATTGTGGTAAGTTCGTTCCCGCATATAAAAGTTGCACTTGCAACTAGTGCAACAAACCTTTGGACGTTGTAAATTAGTCGAATGATGATTTATTAATTGTATCTTGTCAAAAACAGTTTTATTAATGATAATAATAAGATGATAGCTATAAGTTAATTTTAAGAAACTTTAATTGTTCTTTATATAGTAAGTTGAACTAATATTGCTTTCTGTTTTTGAAAATTATTCTACGAAATCTAGATTTGTTTTTAAGTTTATTTATAGAACTCAAGGTAATGCCATGAGAGTGTTTGGGATATTTTAAATGGTGAAAAATAAGAGTGAAATCCAACCCTGAAAGTTGGCCAAAGTGGCTGACGTCACGTTCCCACAATGCACGCGCCCATCAACTCGAGCTCGAGCGCTCGCTGCTGCTGTGTGTTTAGAGGGAAAGAAACAGCAGGCCCGAAAAATACACACATTATTGAACAAAAAATAAAGTGTCCGGTGCGAACAGGTCTTGAGAATTCATCGAGATATGGCTGAGAAACTATTTTTTTATTTGCACCCATGTGAGGTGTAGAATGGAGAATGCATGTGAAATGCAACTTTTGCGGGGATCAAAAGTTTCTGGTGAGCACAATACTGTTTTTATGCAAATGTTATGTGTGAATTTAGGACCCCGTGGACTGTTTGCATTGATGTTCGAATGTTTGAAACCCTCAGAGAGTTTGGTTGCTAGTATTTTTAGACTTTTGAGAAGACAAATGTGTGTCATTTACCCATTTAAGTGGTTCAAATGTTGCGTGCACGAGCAAACAACATTAGCTACGCGACACTGTTAGTGTATTTAATGTATTTATTTTTTTAAACGTTTTAACATGAAGGAAACCGTGAATGGATAGTCTAATTTGTGTTGGTCTTTATTACGAATCCTTTTGATTTGACCATTTAATCACAATGTTCCGCGGTTCTTGAGAGAGTTTAGTGAGCGAAACGTGCCACGGGTTTCTGACCCCGAAACGTGCCAGGAGTAAGTTAAATATACAAAAAGATGCCAGTTAAATCAAAAGGGTTTTTTTAAGGCCAGGAAGTTATTATAAAACAAGACACAACTTTATATATGACTATAATACATTTAGTGTAATTTGTTTGATATTATTTAAAATTAATCCGATTTACCACAAACATGTCATTTGAAAATATGTCATAGGCCTATTTGCATGAAACTGTGAAATGAAATGGGGGAAAAAATGCTGCTACTATGTAATTAGCGTAGCTACTTGATTGTAAGCCTTTTGTGATTTTGGTAACATTACAATTAAGGTCTCATTTGTTAATACATTACCTAATATGAATTAACAATGAGCAATACATTTTTACATAATCTATTTACCTTTGTTAATGTTAGTTAATAAAATATGTCATGTTAGTCTACAGTACATTAACTAATGTTAACAGATACAACTTTTGATCTTAAAAATGTAATGGAAAATGTTGAGATTAATAAATGCTGTAGTATTCTTAGTTTAACTAATGTTGTTAACAAATGAAACCTTATTCCAAAGTGTTACTGTAATTTTAAATATTCAAATCTGATAATAAGCAAACATATTATTTTTTTATTATTAATTATTGTATTATGGTATATACTCTCTATCTACAACATGAACAGTCTTGTTTTAAAGTTAATACATAGAAGCACATTTTGTCCCAACTGAACTCTCAAGCACCTACATTTATAACATTAAAACTAAATCTGAATATTGAAATAAAATAGTGTGGATTTATGTGCACATTAAAAATACTTGAAATGATTGCTTGAATGATGTCCATCCATTCTCTAAAAGGGAGGGAGTATAGTGGACATGCATTTTCCGGAGGTCTGTCAAGATAATGAATGTGCTTTTGTGAGACTTGAAACAGGTAAACAAACCCTTTATAAATGTCACTAACCAATCATCATGACGTCCCTTCAGGGTGTTTTTAAGTTTCTTGTGTTGAAATCTGCTACCATTCAGAAGCAGTTTGGTTCAAAGTCTGCACTGCATTGCCATCAAGCACTTCAAGGTTTTGTTTAATTTGTATAAAAAATACAAAAGGTTTTATAAATAAATACAAAGTTCTTTTATTGGTCAAATACATCTCTAAAATGACACAAAAAGAGTAAATCAATTGCAAATCCTTTGTCTGTAAATAATATTTTTTATAGTGTTCTGTTATTAAACCAAACAAATTATCTTCATGATTTGAATAATTTTATATTTCTTTTTTACCAAATGAAAAAATTCCAAATCAGAAAAATGATGTGTTCTCTAAATAATATTTGTTGAAAGGAGACAATAGAAATTGATGCATACGTGCTTCAGGAATTTTAAAACAAATTGTGTATAGAAGCATATATATAAATGTTTTACAATTATATTGCATACATTTTATTTGGTTTTTAAAAATAGTTTTTGTTTGTATAATCTAACAACATTATGGCTGTACATTACATACATACATATTTTTAAATAATCGTTTTGTTTGTTAATTCACCCCAAATTTTTATAATTTACTCATCGTTCTTCTGTGGAACACAAAAGTTATTTTGAAGGATGTTGGTAATCAAACTTTTTTGGTTACCATTAACTTGCATTGTGTAGACAATTTTTTTTTCTTCAAAATGACTTATTTTATGTTCCACAGAAAAAATTCATACAGGTTTGGAACGACATAACGGTGAGTAAATTATGAATGAATTTTTTTTTTTTGACAAACTCCCTTTAATGAAGCACATAAATCCATTATGGCTTTATTTTTTTAGATGCACATATGCATTATAGAACCTTATGGTAAATTAAAAAAAAAAATCCTCAACAGCTGCATCTTTGTGTTTGTGTGCAGAATTTTGAACATGCAAAAAAACCACCAAGAAAAATCACCTGTTGGAGCTTCTTCTCAGGTATTTGTGAAATGCTATTGTCTTTAAATCAATGTATGATTGACTATGATTGTATTCTCTCTTAAACCTTCAATTATTGTGGTAACTGATCTTCTTTGGCTTTTTCCAGAGTGACATATGCCCTGAAAACTACACATATAAATGAGAAAATGTTCCATGGCAAAGACCAGCTGAACGGCCACCTGCAGAACCACGACCCCAACAAGCAGGAACTGCGGTGTGAGGAATGTGGGAAGTGTTACAACACTCGCCTGGGTCTAAGACGCCACGTGGCCACACATGCCACCTCTGCCGGCGGTGACCTCACCTGTAAGGTCTGTCGTCAGGTGTTCGAGAGCATGCCGGCGTTACTTGAGCACCTGAGTACACACACTGGCCGGCCGCCCCCGGGGACTGTGGTTCGGGAAAGGAAGCATCAATGCGAGCGGTGCGGCCGGCGCTTCTTCACTCGCAAAGATGTAAGGCGCCATGCAGTCGTGCACACCGGCCGGCGGGACTTCCTGTGCCCGCGTTGCGCCCAGCGATTCGGCCGTCGTGACCACCTCACCCGACACCTGAAGAAAAGCCACGCGCAAGAGTTGGAGACCCTGCCGCCGATGCCCATTAAGGAGGAGCCTAGTCCCACCATGTGCTCTGTCGGATCTCCGAAAGATGCCACAGAAGCGTTTTCCATGGCCATGTTCAACCCGCAAGGCTTTCCGAGCGCATCTACCTCAGGGGTCAATCATCATCATCATCACACGATGGTGTCTGGCCCCCTGTCCAGCCCCATGGGTGTGGGCTGCTACCTCGAGCCAAACAAGCCTCCGCCGCAGCAGTACCAGCAGGCTCCCAGATATCAGCCGAGCTGCACTACCTCGTATCTAAAAACAGAGATGGAGAACTTCTTGACCGAACTCCAGTGCGGGCCTATGCCGCCGCAGGCCGCCGTGGCGACTGCTGTTTCCCGGCCAGGCGACCTCCTTCCCGAGGGTCTGGGAGCTCAGAGTGCCCATTTCACCCTCAGAAACTCGGCGTTCACCTCCGCTGAGCCGCCTACCACCTCCGCCAACATGGACCTTTCGCACCTGCTGGGCTTCCTGCCGTTCGGCCTGCCTCCCTACAGCACTCCTTTGGGATACTCCACCACCACCAGTGCCGTGTCCCAAAGCCCTACCTCTCAGTTCTCTGGGCCACTTACCTCATTTCAGCCACAGTCACTGCATGAGCCTCAGGCTTCAGGGCACTTAAACCAGCTCTCTGGTTTCTCACCAACTCTACCTCGATTCCATCAGGCCTTCCAGCAATGATGTTGCCTGTGTCCACTATGTCAAATGCAACAAATCTGTTGCGTCATTGCCAAGTAGCTTAAAGGTAATGAACTGGATACACTGAGTGGGTGCAAGGTCTTCAAATGGATCCTGTAGAAATAGATGAGATGATCACTAGGTAGGATAGATGGAGTTTTGCTTTTAGAATAGTTTTAACTTTGTGGTTTTTCCTAGAGGGTCTTCTGAGTAACTGTTTTGTAGCGTTAAATGAACTCAAAAAAATTCATGAAACTGAAAAGTTAGCAAAAAAATACCTCAATATTTTTGTCACGAAAGGAAAATAATGCTATTACAGTGTTCTCCGTTGTAAAATGAAGCACTTTTTTTTATCAACGGCACTTCTGGCTAAAGGTGTGGTCACATTTTTCGTTGCTCTGTGAATTTTTACCAACAAAATGCTGTCATTTAAATAGAAATCCACGTGGGGATTTCGCATGAGGGCGAACGATTTTTCCATGCAAATTTCAGTTGGTCACGCAAATTTGCCGCATTGACCAACAGAAAGCTGCTTGGTGTGACACTGACTTCTGTGAAAGCGGTGCTTCATACATCTGCACTATTAACAAATAAAATTGTTTTGCCTGTGAAATTTCGCCTAAAATTTACTAATGTGATCGCACCATAAGAGTCAAGTTGAACTGTGGCCGTAGATGTACCTCTCAGCTCACGGTCACACAACACAAAAAAACCTACCTCTCTAAGCTGAACTCTTGTCATGAAAAGGATTCAACCATTTGACAAGAAATGAAGCAAATCCTCACGCCAATTGCGTGAAGAACATTATCTCGTTTGTTTTTTTTGTTTTTTAGAAAGCTCAATGATTTTAGTTATGAAAGCTTTAGAGTCAGGTGATTAATTAGCATTTAATTAATTAGCTTGTGTTGATTTTAGACTTTAGATAAAAGTTTTTAGGTGCTATTGTGTTCACATCCTTAATGCTTATGAAAGGAATCACACTTATGTGTGGAGACTCGTCTCCTGAAAATCCCCATCTCTCTCTGTTCATTCCAGAGTATTTTGTAAGTGAAATGCAAAAAAATAAAAAGTATTGTTTATTGGAATTGAAAAACATAAGTGAACATTTTGTTTAAAATTAGCCCATCCTGACAAATTCCCAATATGGGAACTAAGTATAATATAAACTTTTTTTTGTTGTTGTTTAGTAATAAACAAGAATTGATCACATATACGCCCTGCATATCCCTGTAAAAAGTATCTTGGGCAAATAATTGGTAATTACACAACTGATTTTCACACTACCAAGTTTCCCCAAATGTTTTGCCTGGATTCTGTATTTTCAGACAAACTAAGCTTAGCACAAACCCTGTTATTGCTGAAGCACTTCATGTATCTCCATACAAAACCAGGAGCACTGTCAGGAGAAAAAAGGTGTTTTTTTTTTTCCCATGTAAATTTGAATGGCGTTTTAGCACTGCTTCACTGTCTATTCTTCTGGCTCAGTGTTATATGCACCAGTGACCTATAAGGTAACTGTTGGTATATGTTGTTGTCAACTCCATTTTGTTTATGCCATCTGAAGGGGTGAATTCATTTCATGAGATCCTTCTGTTCCTCCCGTTTTGTTAGTAAATCATCATCACAATCGATACAAATCATGCCAATAGCATTTCTTTCTTTGGCTGAACTGAAATGGAATTGGCCTCTACTCAACTGTGATATTTAGACTCGGACTGATCTACCTCAGTGAGATGCACACTGTGCACAGCTGTACTGTACCTTTAGTGAGAAATGTAAAGTTTCCATGGCTGTTTAGCTGGAGTAAACAGGTGTTTTACATCTTTAAAATTTCAAACATTAGCATTTTTGTGTTTCTAGGACTGTTTGTTTTCATAAACATTCTGAAAGCAAAAGTGAATGAGTGAGAGATGAAGGTGCATGCAGAAACAATGTTAAGGATGAATTTAAAAAAAATAAAGCATCTTGTAGAACTTGAGTTTCTGGTGTGTTTAATTCATTATGTACTGTTGGTAACACATTTGTTTTAGGAAGCCCACTGAAATTTCAGTATTTATGACATTTATATTTAGGTGGCTTTTAAAAGAAATTTTAATTCGAAATGTAAACTACTATCATGATTGCATGCATTGCAACAGGCTACAGAAACATTTTAAAGGCTTAATGATATATAAGAGATAAATACATAAAATAGATGACAATGATTGTAAATTAATTAATTTACAGTTTTAATTATGTAGCGTGTCTATTTGTTATAACTGAACCACTGTTTTATAAAATACAATACAATCGTATAAACACTTAACGCTGTAATGTATACTATTAGAACTGCAAAAAAAGCCCGCTGGTACTACATTGTGTTCAATACTAATTGTGCAATAGTATTGATAGTTGTGAGTAAAAACAAGCAGGGTGTTGATTGTAAAACTCAATCGGTTGGTCGTGACTTCACTTTTCCATACTTAATTCCCGCTCTTATATGTAAATCGAGAGAGAAATCGGTTTCCAAATAAAACGAGAGAAAAGCATGTTCACATTCAGGCAAATACAAGGGCAGCTCATTCTCAGGCAAACAGGAAGTGGAACAGATGTGAAGAAGGACCCTATTATTAATAACAAGCAGTCGAATACACTGGCGAAATATTTGAATTTAATTGATATATTCGCACAATGAATGGCGCCTGTTTACTAAAGTAGCAGCTGATTTATACCTGTAGTCAGTTTGTGTCGTACGGCCGTTGTTTGTCGCCTGTCAGTTTCAGTCTGGCTTTGGCTAAACTGGCTTGAGATGGCAGACGAGGCTCTCTTTCAGTTCCTGCACAGTGAAATTATTCAGTATGTCAACAGTGCAGAAACTGGGGAATCGGTAAGAGCTGGAGATATACTGAAAACACTGTCACAGAAACGTAGAATAGCGTATTAGAACTGAGTAAGCCAAGCACAATAATAAAGCAGTTATTGTGGGAATGTTGCATGTTGAATGTAGTGTACTTCTGTGCACAGGAGAATGGACGATGTGTTTCTAAACTTGAGAACATGGGGTTTCGTGTGGGACAAGGACTTATTGAGAGGTATCATAACAGATATTTACATCCTATTCATAATTCAATCAGATCATCTGATGACATCCTATAATCAGATGTTATTGTGCAGTTAATTTGTTTTGTTTTGTACTAGATCAGATTGTCACTTGAATATCCAGACTTTAAATCTAAACCAAGTAAATGGGTTGTTTTAAATCAGTTTGCAGAAATGTAATAGACCGTTTAATTAGTAGTAGAAGAAAAAAAAATCTTGAAAAGATGTGTCTCAAGAGCCATCATTTCTGTTTGCAGGTTTACCAAAGACACGCCACGTTTCAAAGATGAGCTTGATGTCATGAAGTTCATCTGCAAAGATTTTTGGACCAGTGTTTTTAAGAAGCAGATTGACAACCTGAGAACAAACCACCAGGTGTGTACAATATCATGGAAGTCCAGCTGTTTTTTTTTTATAACAAAAACATCATTGTTATGTCAATTTTATATAGCTTAGTGAATGTCTTTATTGAATAACATGACAAAATTGTTTGTAGGGTATTTATGTGCTACAAGATAACAAGTTCCGTCTGCTGACCCAACTGTCTGCCGGCAAACAGTATCTGGAACATGCGCCGAAGGTATAAACATAAACAACATATTTTAAAGTGAAACTCCAGAATCAATATCTTTAACATTTCATATCATTATATATTATTTTTATATCTACAGTGAGGAAAATAAGTATTTGAACACCCTGCTATTTTGCAAGTTCTCCCACTTAGAAATCATGGAGGGGTCTGAAATTGTCATCGTAGGTGCATGTTCACTGTGAGAGACATAATCTAAAAAAAATATATCCAGAAATCACAATATATGAATTTTTTAACTATTTATTTGTATGATACAGCTGCAAATAAGTATTTGAACACCTGTCTATCAGCTAGAATTCTGACCCTCAAAGACCTGTTAGTCTGCCTTTAAGGGGGCTTTCACACTAGCACTTTTGGTGCGCACCCGGGTTCGAATGACGTCAGAGTTCGGTTCGTTTGGATGATGTGAACGCTGTCTTCCGAACTCGGGTGCGCACCCGCGAACCGTACTCGGGTCCGCTTAGGTGGTCTGGGGTACGGTTCATGTGAACTCCAGTACGGTTCGCTGCTGATATGAACGCAATCGAACCAAACCGCGGAAGTGAACCGCTAATGTGGTCAACAGGACAGTCGTCAGTGCATGTGTGTGTGTGTGTGTGTACACTTACCTTGACGAAAAGCGGGATTGACGCACTGCAAGCAGAGAGATGATTTATGCTTGCCTCTGCAAAAATTGTCTTCAGCTGACAGCCAGCTGTCTTTGGAACGATTTTAGTACTTTTGCGGCAGACACACCCAAGTGTGTTTCTGTATCTTTTCTTTGAAAACAAAACCAAAGGTTAAAAAAAAGAACAAATGTGAAGCGACCAATTCTATCCATTTTGACGCCTTTTCATTCATAGCGGCGCCGGTTACCAAGCAACATGATTACGCGCCAGCTGCAGCTTGATGACGCAAGCGTACCGCGGTTCGGATACAAATAATATTTGTGAATACAGTCCATCGAGGGCAGGGGGAGGGGGGAGCAATCGAATTCGGGTTCGGAACAGGCAATCGAACCAAGTGTGAAAGCGCCCTAAGCGGACCCGAGTACGGTTCGCGGGTGCGCACTCGAGTTCGGAAGACAGCATTCACATCATCCAAAAGAACCGAACTCTGACGTCATTCGAACCCGGGTGCGCACCAAAAGTGCCAGTGTGAAAGCCCCCTAAAATGTCCACCTCCACTCCATTTATTATCCTAAATTAGATGCACCTGTTTGAGGTCGTTAGCTGCATAAAGACACCTGTCCACCCCATACAATCAGTAAGAATCCAACTACTAACATGGCCAAGACCAAAGAGCTGTCCAAAGACACTAGAGACAAAATTGTACACCTCCACAAGGCTGGAAAGGGCTACGGGGAAATTGCCAAGCAGCTTGGTGAAAAAAGGTCCACTGTTGGAGCAATCATTAGAAAATGGAAGAAGCTAAACATGACTGTCAATCTCCCTCGGACTGGGGCTCCATGCAAGATCTCACCTCGTGGGGTCTCAATGATCCTAAGAAAGGTGAGAAATCAGCCCAGAACTACACGGGAGGAGCTGGTCAATGACCTGGGAGGAGCTGGGACCACCATTTCCAAGGTTACTGTTGGTAATACGTCATGGTTTGAAATCATGCATTGAACGGAAGGTTCCCCTGCTTAAACCAGCACATGTCAAGTCCCGTCTTAAGTTTGCCAATGACCATTTGGATGATCCAGAGGAGTCATGGGAGAAAGTCATGTGGTCAGATGAGACCAAAATAGAACTTTTTGGTCATAATTCCACTCGCTGTGTTTGGAGAAAGAAGAATGATGAGTACCATCCCAAGAACACCATCCCTACTGTGAAGCATGGGGGTGGTAGCATCATGCTTTGGGGGTGTTTTTCTGCACATGGGACAGGGCGACTGCACTGTATTAAGGAGAGGATGACCGGGGCCATATATCGCGAGATTTTGGGGAACAACCTCCTTCCCTCCGTTAGAGCATTGAAGATGGGTCGAGGCTGGGTCTTCCAACATGACAATGACCCGAAGCACACAGCCAGGATAACCAAGGAGTGGCTCTGTAAGAAGCATATCAAGGTTCTGGCGTGGCCTAGCCTAGCCAGGTGTTCAAATACTTATTTACAGCTGTATCATACAAATAAATAGTTAAAAAATCATACATTGTGATTTCTGGATTTTTTTTTTTTAGATTATGTCTCTCACAGTGGACATGCACCTACGATGACAATTTCAGACCCCTCCATGATTCCTAAGTGGGAGAACTTGCAAAATAGCAGGGTGTTCAAATACTTATTTTCCTCACTGTAAATGCAGGGTTGATGAGCATAAGAGTCTTTTCAAAAACATTAAAAATAGTAAATGTTTCCAAACTTTTGACCGGTACTGTATATATTCTGTGTTTGGTGATTCTCATTTATTTATGTCTACAGTTTTTAGCCTTCACCTGTGGACTGGTCCGAGGAGCACTTTCAAACCTTGGTGTGAAAAGTATAGTCACGGCAGAAGTGTCAGTCATGCCTGCCTGTAAGAAACAAATTATATGCAAACATAATAAATAACTACTAGATTTATTGTACTTTTTCTTTTATGATATTACTCAATCTGTAACTGATCAGCAATGAAGTTGAAGTTATTTTTTCAAGAGTTCCTGTTCTCATCAAGCTCTAATTAATTGTTTCTTACTTGTCTCCCTCCATCCCTCTTTCTCTGCACCTTGTTTGTTCTTAGGTAAATTCCAGGTGATGATCCAGAAGATTTGATTCACTACAAAGGAGTGTATTGCTCATAACATGTGCATCTGTTTTATTGCCTTGTCATTTTTTATTGCCTTGTCCATTTTATTGCTAATATCACTATGATTATTTTTTTTTTATTTGCAGTATCTTGACAACTACTGGCATTGAAAGTGTTTTGGCATGCATCGTCAAGCCTTATTGTACTGTATTTTGTTAGTGTTTTGATGTTCATTATTCTCTGCCCATATTCACGTTGTTTTGAAAATTAATTTGCACTGATAACATTAAAGCTGGAATCCTGGTATGAGTTTGTGATTAATTTTTGGAAATTAATTAATATTGGGAATTAAGATTAAAATGTTTGATGTTAACAATAAGGATTCATTTGGTAGCATTAGTTAACTATATTAGTTAATATGAACTAACAATGAACAATCCCAGCATTTGTTAATCTTAGTTCATGTTAATCTCAACATATACTAGAATATTTATGAGGTCAAATGTGTTTACATTAGTTAATGCACTGTGAACTGACATTAATAAAAGTTAATAAATTGTGTAAAAATGTTGTTAGTTCATGCTAGTTAATGCATTAGCTACTGTCAACAAATGATCCCTCATTGTAAAGTGTTACTAATGTTTTTTAATAGCAAGTCATCACAAAAAGATCACTTTGTAAAATAGTAGAAGACTATAATCCGTATTTAAAACAATGACTGATATATTTAAAAACATTAAAGGCAATTAAATGTCCTTCATTTATGCTTCTCAGCTAGTCACGTGGTATTGCGTTCTAAAACGTCACAAGCGCGGAGCTAATAGGAAATGAGACGCGCCGCATTAAGAACTCTGATTGGCTGGTTTGTAAACTCAGTTCTAACGGCACCAACATTCAAACGAAGCATTCACTTCGGGTTGTTTGTGACTGCAGGATACGAGCTGTCTGCTGTTAAAACATTGTACTATTTTTTTCAGCCTTTCAGGTTGCGATAGGAGACAGAGGCATTGTTTTGAACTGTAAGTGTTTATACATTTTGATGGATTGTGATATTTTATTTGACACGACTGCTGCGTTTAAGTAAAGATTAATGTTAAATTGGTGCGTTCGTTTTGGGCCGTAACGTTTGTAATCGTAGAAGGCCAAGCTTTTTATTGTTTGATGTAGCTAACGTTAATAGAACGACTGAGTTGAAAGTTTATCTCCTCGTTTTATTACTGCGATCTTAATCCATATGATTATATTATTTAGACTGCGTTTGTTTTAATTTGACCCTTTTTTTTCTTACGTGCTTATGAGTAATGCAAGACAGACTTATCTTTCATAAGAATTGATTTTCAAATGATAGTGTAAAATGCTACTCTGCCACTTTAATATTACTTATAATATTTATACACTATATAAATAAAAATGATATCCGTAACTGGTCGATTCTGCTGCTTTTACAGGCTAGGCCTTTAGTCAGAGATCAGCCATTAACTGCCATTTTGCGCCACTCTGTGCAGGAAATGCAGTTCCAGTGTTCTTCTTCACGTCCCTTTATGATGTATTTGATGTAAAATATTGTTATAGATGCAGTTTGACTGTAAATACGTAATTTTGCAGGAGATTCGCGGTGTGAATATGGAAGGGGGCTCTGCAGATGCATACACATGGGATGCCCCTTCTCATGTTATAGAGTCAATAGACGATTTTGTTCTGGACCCTCAGGATAATGCTGACCAGTGGTTTGGTAAGGCTTTTCATTCTTTTATGTATATAATATACATGTTTTTGTTCCCACCATGAATGGTGAAACAATATTATCCTGTAGTGTTAACGTTACTTGCTTAACACCTTCAGCATTATTTTTCACTGTATTGTTGTATATGCAGGCTTGGTATCTCAGCAATATTAGGACTGTTATACAAAATATTTGTACTTATCAGAATTTGTTACACAACAGGTCCACTGAAAGGACCTCATGAAATCAAAAAGTTGATTAAATTGGTCAAAATGTCTTTGTTCTGTTTTAATTTTAGAATTGAAGGCAGCTCCTAAAAGCGGTGTTGTGGATCAACTCACCACCCCTTTACGGACTTCAAATCCTTTTGATGAAAACCATGACGCTAACAGGCCCAAAGCTTTGGTATCTCCTATGGTCAAACAAGTTGAGATGACAAGCTCAGGTTGGAAAAAACTGCATTGTTCACTTAGAAATCTCTTATGAATGGAAGCTTTTTTCTTTTCTTTTTTTTTGGGAATAAAGATAATAGTGACTTTTTATCCCATAATTCTGAAATTGTGAGATGGTCGCACTGACTTCATTTTTTTATTCCATGGTGGAAACAAGCTTAGATACTTGAGGCCTGTTTACACTAATAATAACTAAAAATATGATTACAATTTTATACACATAAATGCATGATGGCGTTCTGTTTATTATAAGCGAGAACTTAAGTTTTTGTTGCCTGTCTTAAATGCTCAAGGTCTTTAAAATCAGGTTGATTCTGATTGGCTGTCCATGTTTTCATCAGCTGGAAAAAAAGTCTGAAAGTGATTTTAATCTCTTGTTATAGTAGTAAGTAGTTATGTACTTCCCTATTCTCAGAATTGGAATGATTATGAACTTTTTAGTTATTGTCCTTGGTGTGTACAGGCCTTTAGAAACCATTTGAAAAGGTGTTTTTTGCATGTCTATTCTTAACATCTGCTCTGCTTCAGATGTCACAGAAAGTTCCTCTACAGAGGTCCCATCTAACATAGTCACATCATGGGGGAACAGCAGACCTACTACAGCTCCTGGCCAGGGCCAGAAATCTGTTCCTGCTCAACCACGCAGGTAAAGAGATTTCTGCTTATTAGAGATGCACCAGTCGACCGGCCAGAAATCCGAACTGGCTGGTTTTTGCTCCAATCACATGATTTGCTTTTCTTTTGGTCGATCTCTATTCCGGACTTGTGCACAAACTGCATTGCGATCATTTACCTAAATGTAATTTGTGTAAATTTTATGAAGTCTTTAAACGGGACGTTAACACAGGCCAGTGACAGAATCTGCTGTAGACAGGTGCAAAGAGAAGAACAGTGATGTGCCAGCAGAGAAAATACTGTACCAGGCACAGCAAGCTCGCGGTTTGCGATGTCTGAAATATTGAATTGGGTTTTTTATATATGTGTAAATGTAGCTCTAAAAGCAACTGTCTATCTTCAGAAAACTTTTTAATGCCATTTTCTTACCTCTGTATAATGCCTGTTTATAAGTGCCTATACAACTAGTCAATTTTTGTTCTCACTCTCTTCTAACACTAGCTATGTTTCCATCTATTTTTATGCTCATAAATTAAAAAAATGCGCATTAAAAACGTATGCGTTTGTTTGAGTCGGATACATTTATCCGATTAGTAATAAACTACGATGGAAACACATTTACTGAGTAAATTCCTTATTGCGCATTAAAAAAAATCATGTGACTGCTGTGGGATGACATGACCAGTGTACTGATCTCGTTTCACCGTATCTGAAAACCTGTTTGGGTTGTTCTCAAATGCCTGAGCAAAAGTGTTGTCAAAATGGTTCAGTATAATTCCCTCCCAGAACTCTTACATGACTGCATTCCCAAACAGCAGCAGCTGCCTCTGAAAGCGAGATAACGTGTTTATTGTGTTACGCTCTACTTGCTAGACGCAAGTAATTTATCACAGGCCTATAAGAAAAGTAGGAGAATCCACTGTAAATAATCATTTTTATAGTGCTATTCAGTGCCGGTTTATCAGTAAGTGAAGTTTGTTTTCTTCGACTCACTGGATTGAAACTGTGCATTATTAGCAAATGTTTTATGCGATATTACAAATTTGCACAAGTTAAATTTGCAACTGTGAATGGAAACATGGCTACTATCAGTTTATTTTTCTTCCTCCTTCCTGCAGAGTGTCTAAACGGCCTGTGCAAAGAAATGAAAATCCTACAGCCATTTCAACACCCCCTGTTGTTAAGAAAAGAAGGTATGTGTTCCTGATATTTGGATCCATTGTAGTATATTACAGAGTGCTCAATTAGCCGCTTTGTCTTACTGCATAGAGTTGTACCAACTGCCACTGTGAGGAGAGTTTTTGATCAGCGGCGAAGGTAAAACTAGAGGGCACCTAGTGGGGATTTAGTAGACTTCACTGGTGAACTGGCTAGTAATGTGAGGTGTTACTTGAAAGTAACAATATTTTGTTGTTTTTATCTCCTCATAGAAGCTCAACATCCAGAACTGTGCGACGCAGTGGTGCTGGTGCAAGGAGCAGTGTCCGGCTGAGGAGCAAACCAGCCATTGCCACAGCCAAGGCTTCAGATACTGCTTCTGCCCCCAACACTAAACAGTGAGTGAGAATCTTATTAGACTGCATACAGTTAGCAGAGTCAAACTAGGCTACAGTTCAAATGTTTTTATTTTATTTAGCAAGGATGCATTCATTTTTCCCCCTTTTTTTTAACCAATTAAAGCTGCAGTCTGTAGCTTTTTTTGGGTTAAAAATTATCCAAAATACATATTTGAGAAAATACATAACCAGCCAGTGTTCAAAACTCTCTGCTTGCCTTAGCTCGATTCAAAGTGGTAGGCTTGTAGTAATGTTTTTAATTCCAGTGGTACTGGTGGATTTCCGCGGGAGATTCGAGCATGTCTTTGCGTCATTACGTCACATCTGTACACATAAAGGAGTCTCGGCTAGTAGGCTGTTGCGTGTGAGGATGTTGGAGGTGGAGATTTATAGCCTTTTCTCACAGCACTTGATATAATTAAACTTATCAATTTGATGGTGGATCCAGAAAGGTTCAAACGACGATCACCAGTGACAACTGGACATTCACCCGCTGTAAAATGCAAAAGACTTTGTTCGGATTTCGGAGTGAAAAAAAGAGACTGCAACCGGACCCATGCGAAAACAAGGATAAATATCGGAAGGACATTACATGTAGTCACGCAATGCTGACGTTGTTAACATTAACAATTTGAGGACAAAGTATAACTTGCACGGTTTTGCGTGATATGGTAACTTATAAGCGATTCATGTCAGAACCAGAACAAAAGTGGATGTTTCTTACTTGTTCAGATGACATTTTCCGGTGAAAATTCTCATGTTGGTCATACTTCCAAAAAGAATAATCTGAGTCTGAGTGACAGTCTCCACACCGGCGCGGTGACTGACAGCTGCACACTCTCCTCAAACATTATGTTCATCCGCGCTGTGCCGTGTTGAAGTACAACTCGCGTAAAGTTGATAATTCCGCTAATGACTGCAATTGCAGATTTCGAACAGAGATGGCGACAAAGAGGAAAA